GGATAGATAATTAACAACATTTATATTGAAAGTAAGTTTTCTAATTCTATAGAAGGCGAAGAAAGGTGTAATCTTTGAAAGTTTTCCACCTGTATTGTATTTGCAATTAAAACGGTTTGAATACGATATAGCAAGATCTACTGTTAATAAGGTATGCATCTAAATTATTTAATTTATTATAATCAGTGCTGAAAATAGGATTTAGCTATAACATTGACCCAAAATAAAACATATTGGAAAATGTCTAATCTGAAAATCAAATTACACAGTTTATATTTCGAAGCTTTACAAATATTCTCAAATTTTGGACAAGCTAAAATTTTTTTGATTTCTCGAGACTTTATTGTCTCATCCTAAAAATCACAAAGTTCTTAGTCACTTTCTTTAGAACCTTGTTCCGGAGACAACTATGTCATTTTCTAATAGCTTATCTTTAAGATAAAATTAAAGTTTCGGGAACAAATAAATTTTAGTTCCAGAATTTATGAATGTAGCTGTAATTTTAAAAAAACTAAATCATTTCGGAAAACAAAAGCTTCGGGTAACAAATATACTCTAGTCAAAAAAGAACCGGTTATAATTAAAAAAACCCATTTTTTTTTGATATAAATTTAGTCTAATACCTGAAATCTGAAATTTTACTTGTTAAATATTTTCGGTTCTGATTACGACCTATTATTAATATAACCTTAATATTAATTTATTGTTTAGATAAATAATTATTTTGAGTTTCCCATGGAAATTGATTTAGAAAAATATTTATCATCAGAAGCAGACAAAACAAAACAGCAGTTTCCCATGGAAATTGATTTAGAAGAATATTTATCATCAGAAGCAGACAAAACAAAACAGCAGTTTCCTATGGAAATTGATTTAGAAAAAGATTTATCATCAGAAGCAGACAAAACAAAACAGTATAAATATTTACTTTATGGGTTTGTAACAGTAGGATACCTTTAATGAATATCTTTTCATAATAGATTAATATTCATACCTTTTATTGTTTTCAGAGTACTTGTTCATAATGGTTATTGTTTTGGAGGTCGATATTTTGCCTTAATAAAACCAAATAAGAATGGCAAATGGTTTTAATTTCAATTCATTAATTTCTTAATATTTGGACTGTATAATTATTGAATAATTAATGTTAGTCATATTTAACAGGCTAAAATTTGATGATGATAGAGTTATACCTGTAACAGATAAAGAGGTACTTGAAAATAATTATGGAGACGGACTCTCAAGTGCATATGTATTAGTATATATCCGTGAGTCCGATATCAAAAATGTATTATCTCCAATGCTTCCTGAAGATATACCGAAAAATTTGCGTAAGTATTCTTTTAAGGTATCGCAATTTAGATTTGGTGGTGAATTTATTT